ATTATCTTTTTGAACAATTGTTATGATTTGTAACAATGTAAACAAGTTTTAGATTTTTCTTTTACAATCTGACCTGATTATATCTTCAAATTTCTGTCACCTACATAATTTGAGAGATTTCCAGTTTAGAATGTTGTTTTAAAGCCTAGCTGTGCTTTAAACTTCATCTCTGACTTGTGTGCTGGACTCCTTGGTTTTCATGATGCTGTTTGTTCACTAATTTTCTCTAACAAACTTCTAGGACCTTCACTGAGCAGCAGCAATTATCCTGGGATTCAATTACATGGACTCTGTTATAATTAGGTGGGTTCTGACTCAGAACCCACCAATGCAAAATACCCTTTGAATTTCTGAGGGTATTTTGTTGCACTGGATTGTATTTAGGGCAGTAAAGGGGCAAATACAACCCACATAATTCATATTTGTTAAACCTTATCTCTTTCTCTATCCACTTTTTTTCTTTTGTCTATAAAACAAAATCAAACTTTGCATGTTCAAGACTGGCAGAAACAGGTTGGGATGAAACAGTTTGTTCAATCCAACTATGGAGGCTGGAATACTTATTGTGAAATATTTATTATAAGCTAAACAGGCAAGCACTCAGCTTATTTCACTTCATCTTTGAAAATAAAATTAGGATTCAACTTGAAATCAGCTAGAGTTTCTGCTACAACCTTAATTAGTCAAGGATGTTTCAGTTTGTTTCTGACACGATTACATTTTTTTTACCCCATTCAATTAAGTTAAAATAACCCTTGTATTTATCCCCAACAGGGAATTTCAAGGCACAAGAGTAACACAAAGCAGACTATAAAATTTAATAGCTCAAACAATAGAGATGAAAAATTTCACATATACTTAATAAATATTTGAATATGGATAAGTGGTAGTGAATGTATGCAGTATGAAGTGCTTATGTAGCTTAAATTCAGCAGTGCAACAGGAGTTCATAGTTGGGCTGGGATGTCTTCCCAGCTAGTCCTGGGAAGACATTTAACCACTGACCACAAAATTTTAGAATGCTTCCTTGTCAGAGTTGGACTGCTGCATGCAGAAGCACATTCCTTCGTGGTGATAAATAGGGAAACTTGTTTATCTTGGCTCAGTATCAGGCTGGGTGCAACTTCTGATGACTGGAAATACCCAGTGTGAGTCCCCAGGGTGATGACCATGCTGAAAATAATCAGCAGCATTTTTATTGTTTGCTTTTGCTGGTATGAATAATTATTTTGTCCTATTTTTTGCATCTTAAATCTGAATCTTAAAACTACCACAACTGTCAAGGTTTCTATGTGTTCTATAGGAATATTATGTAACATATAGGATTATGTGAAACCATTAGATGTCCCCTAGAAAGTCCAGCAAAAGCGGAAGGAGTTCTGTAGGTGTTCATTCATTCATCATTGTGACAGGTCTTAGCTCAGACCTAAATTTCGATTGTGACTTTGTGAAAACGCTTGAAAATTTATGTTTCCATTCTGGACTTCTTTTATCCAATTTTTAGGTGGACTAACTCATACTCAGCCTTTTCAGGGTATTACATCACAATGACAAAAATAAAGAATGCCCATTGGTTTTATCCTTTATTTAGAGGATAAGACCAAATCCCGACTTATTGAATAAGACGGCCACCTTGGATGGAGATGTTGCTGCTACAACATGGCGCTGATTTCGAGAACACCTGCACATCTGTGCAGCTGAGTCCTGAGCGTCAGCAGAAGCATCAGTGTGGTGCTGATGCTGGCATCCGGACAGGAAGCTGTATTAATGTAATTGACATGTGCAGCAGCAGGAGCAGTGCAGCCTTGCAGCTGGTCTGATCTCTTTAATCCAAGTTCTGGATTGTTGCCCTGCTCGTTTTAGGTCACATTAATGTAGCCATGCTCCGTCAGGCTGTGTTTTATGTGGCTAAATGTGATTTTATGAGAATAATTTATTTTGATTGTGTATGTTTAGGGATCTAAAACTTCTTCTCTCCTTTGATAATCTGGATTTTCATACAAGGTTCGATGAAATCTGTGAACCATCAGTTTTATGGTAATACTTTTGGGCTTTTATGGTAAAGTTTGAAAAGCCGATATCTAAGCAATCAACGTTTTTTTCTTGCACTGTGTAAAAATTTGGATACGCTGAATGCATTTGGATTTGCATGCAACCCAAGGACGCTCAAATCTAATCTGCTAAGTCTGCTTGGACTACAAATAGAAACCAGAGAGCCTCTGTTACCGTAAATCGGTTATTCATTTGCAGATTTGTATTTAAAGAGATTAAAGCAGGATTAAATGAAAACACAGGTGTGCGAGTTCAACTCGAGTTGTGACATGTTGATTCAGTTTGAGATTTGGTACATTTTAAATGACTGGTAATTAACCAATAAAAGGTTGGATTATAGATAATCTTTAAGGCTGTAATGTTTTATCTTCTTTTTTGCCAGGTTCACTTATTGTTAGGATGACATTTGTTTAGTTAGTATTATTTTATTTCAAATTCTTTCACATTATTTGAAAGCATCCAAACTTTGTTGTATTTAATTGGGATTTTATGTGAATAACACAAAGTTGCACAAGAAAGGAAAACAGTTTTTATTTCTTTACAAATACAATCTTATAAATGGAGAGGGCAGATGTGTTCAGCCTTCTTGAATTGATGCTTTATAGATCCACCTTTTACTGCAATTACAACTGGAGTTCTAACAGTTTTGCATTTCTGGAGACTGAAATCTTTGCCTGTTCTTCCTTGCAAAGTGCTTTGAGATCCTTCACATTGGATTGAAAGTGTCTTGTAATAATATTTCTCAAATCTTGCCTCCATTTCTGAATTAGATTTTAGCCTAAGGTTTTGACTAGGCCATTCTACAACTTTATTAGACTTAGACAATATACATCATTCCATTGTTGCTCTGGCTGTATGCTTTGGGTTAAACCAGATAACAAATTTGGTCTCATTTGATCAAAGAATCTCTTACACATGTGCTGTTTGTCCTCCAAAGGTCTTGACAATTTTCAAATATTTCTATCTTTTGTCATTGGCGTTCTTCTCGGCATGCACAGCGAGGTACTGTAAGTACAGTAATCTGTAGTCGCAGATTAACCATTGACCCCTTGGTTGCTTCTCTAATTTCCTAACTACAATAATGTCACATGAAAGTTAAAAGTGCACCCCTGCACTCCAAAGAAATACTCCTGTTGAAATAATTAAATGTATCTTTAAAAATCAGGCATTACGTTGATATATCTGGTAGACTGTGGCCTCATAGCTGTTATAAATAGCCCAGATGTGCTGAGTGTTCATGACGCTTGCAGCCTTTGAAGAATCAGTGAGTGGAAACAACCAAATGACAAAAGCTGGGCTGAAGAATAGTAGCAAAAGTCTTTCCCCTCTTTTTGTAAGTCCGTCCTCTTCCTCTGCTTCCCTCAGGCTGTCTCCTCTTTTCCTTCCTGCTGACTGACATTTCGATAATGACTTCGTCTGAGCCGCTCCACAGGCCCTGCCTCCATCCGCATCCTCAGCTCTCCATGCAGGGCCGGCTCCTCTCATCACTCCTGATATCTTTATCAGATCAGTAAATGTCGGTAATGTCATCTCAGAGAGGTTAGGAATTTAAAGATCGTCTATTTTCTGGAATCGTCTTCTCTTTTAGCTTGCAGAGAAACTGTCCTGGACACAGGCTTGCTGGTCAGCCTGTTTGAGGACTGGGATTTTGTTAAGAACTGGGTTAAGCTCAACATCCTTTTATATTTGGGAAGGGGTATTACAGTTATGGCTATGAGGGGCTTAGATTAACTCTTCATATCTAAACGAAGCTTTAAAAGTCTTTACTGTAATACCTTTTTTCTTTGTTGTATTCTTTTTGTTCAGCAATACTGTACTCATGCACCACTCAGTTTTAAATATGCTCTTCTCTTGTGATATTTGTGCTAGCCGGCTTCTATAATTACCACAGCCTGGAGCGCCTCATGGGGAGCAAATTAACACACACGAGTGGAGGAGCAAAAACCAGAGTCATACAAACTGGATTGGAGTAGCCCTGACCTCGGACGTGTGCGCCTTTCGAACGAGGACATAAACAGCAGGGATGTTGTTATTCATAGATCACAGCCATAATGCATGCTTATGTATGTGTGAGTAATGGTCGCCTGATGCAGCTCGGATAATTAGACAGTTAAGGTGCTGCACCATGTGACAAGAAAAACTACAGCAGGAGCAGATAAGTATTTATTTATTATTCATAAAATGTTATTAGACACATTTTATTTTGATTCCACAGAATGTCCATATAAAATGTGTTTTTGTAGCGATCACCTTCATGTTTTCGACTTTTGATCTCAGGAATCCTAAAGCCCACATGGAGCTTGTAATACTGTAATTTCTTTTAAAAAATCTAAAAGCTTTATTTTAAGTATTTCATACACTGGTTGATCTCCACATAAAAGATCAAATTTGCCTGCTTCTTAAATTACAGATAAGAGCTTGGCAAATTTTTGTTATGTATTTTTGTAGCAGCATCCAAGTTCTGACAACTGTCTTCCACCGTAAATGTGGCCAATCATGTTGCTGTTTGTACACTAAAGCCATGATTGTCAGGACTATTTACTGCAAATATTGAGGAAGCTTTATTGAGATGTTATCCCTATTTAATTCACTATTCCATGACGATAATATTATAATTTTCCATCTTTTTATGTTTAATGAGATACTAGGTAAAGAGCAGGAGTTTCTCAGTTCAACAATGCCTCTATGCCATATGTTGCTGCACACTGTCAGCTGGCTGAAAGAACACTGGGACACCTTTTCTTTCCCTTAATTTGGTTGTTTGAAATTATTTTCTCCATCAACTAATTAAATCATATTACAATGGACCCTGTGTGGGGCAGCTAGCCACAAATAGCTTAAATCTGCAAATATTTGAGTTCTTTAGAAATGCTTATAACTGCCTATTTTAAAATCTTTCTAATCAAATATACCTTAATATGCATCAATGTGCAAAGTTGAAACCGACTTTGTACTATTGAAGAAGCAATATCTTCGGTATCTCTACTGCTCTTGAGAGTACAATCAATCATCATCAACTGCTGTAACGTATTAGTTTTTATCTCATCGTCCTTCATCCTGTCTTTTTTTAGCCAACACTGCATATGTGCAAGTTTCTAGCATCAAACAAAAAACAAGCAATGAGCCTGTAATAGTTGTTGAGACTGTTTGTCTTGTCTTCCTGTCTTTGTTTAATGGGCTCATTGGTGCTGTTTGTTTATTCAGACTGACAGTGGGAGCCACTCGTCTCTGCGATGGTAAGTTTGTGTGTTGAAAGCTGATAGGTTTGGAAAACTCTGAGTGGACACTTATGTCTTTATTTCTTTACTGTGTAGCTGTTCCAAAGTTACCTTCACAAAGAGTGGTTTTAAGCACAGATAGACTAGTCCTTGGTATTCCACTTTATTTCTAGTGATGTTAAAGTTTTTGAAGACCGACAGATTTTGTCCAGATTATAAAAGCAGAATAAAAGGTTCTTATGTGCAGCACATGAAACTTGTGCGCATGTCCTGGTGACCTCGGCTCATACTGTACTCTGTGTCTCTGCCCCGGAGTCCACCCTTGTCTTTGTGCATTTGTGTTTGTTACTTTGTCCTTCCCCAGTCCCACTGATATAATGTCACGATGGCCGCGACTCCAAGGTGAAAGGGGTACATACGTTCACATTCCCCAGACTTTTCTTATTCTCTTATTTATTTAAAGGAAGAGGACTGGACAGTTTTGGGTGGCCTCTGTGCTCAACTTTATGAATCTCCACACAGTCTGCGAAATCACGCTCAGGATGGGCATGCTGTGGTAGTGTAAGGATTTGTGCCTACTGCTCCTCATCTTTTTGCTCCTGAGGAAATGAGGATATAGATTGTTGTAGTGCTGCTGGATGAACCGTGTGGAGCGGTTATTATGTAATTTCCCCTCAGTGCAGATTGGTCAGTGGATAAGATGTTGGTGGGCTCAGCACCGTAATCTCTCAAGTATTATCTGTCTCCCAACGTCAGCAGTTGTTGTGGGCAGAACTTGCTTTGTTTATGTAAAAACCAAACAATCACCTGGGTTTGCGTGCAAAATCATTCACATTGTAGCCAATGAGGTTTGCTCATGACGTCAGAACATTACTTGATCTTTTGGAAACATCAGTTGGGAAACTCCTTAAAACGTTGATTTTAACTCAAATTCTAACAGAGAGATGGGTGATAGTTGCAATAATATACTTTTTTACTAGCCCTTTGAAAAAGGATTTATCTTAATTAAATTGGTTGTACAAACAGAAATATGCAGCCTCTGACTGTTAACAATGTTTGCTTGTGCTGTTATTAAGTTACAGTGCAGATTGAGAATACAAGAAGCAACAAATCATACTGGTATTTATTGCATCACAAATTAGTCCTCTTGCTTTATAAGCATAAAGCAAGAGGACTAATTTACAATTTTAATCAAGGCAATGAACCTCGAAATATAGTGACAGTTGATTAAGAGACTCTAAAAACAAAAATAGGAAAACAAAAATAAAAACAGGAAAAAATAAAAAAATTCAGATTAAGAAAAAAAAATTAAGTCACATTGACTTTTACATAGTTTACACATTATCATATGTGTTTATGGTGAGCTGATCTTTGCTTTCTTTTTTTGTAGAAATTATATTTCATTATGGACTGAAAGACTATTTTTTTGTATTTATTTTTGTTGACATTTACTGCTATTTACGCAAAAGTATTTTTCTTTTACTTTCAATCAGAAGAAACAGCCTAGAATATCTAAAGCATGACATGGAAATATTATATGAGATTTATGCTAGTAAATAACAGCCCTTCCAAATGTCTTTACATTTATTAGTTGTCGTCTCACATGACTTAAACATGTTGTATTTCAGAGAAGCATAACTCCCTGATCAAACTTCTGAGTATGTTAATGCCTTTAGTACACTCACTGGAATTACAAAAATAAACATTTGAGATTTGGAAAGTAGGTTAAATGGAGATAATGTTGGAGATGGTATTGGGAGCCTCTTATGGGAAATGTCATGTATTGTTCTTCTCCTTTATCACTATGTGCTAAAAACATTAAGCGATCCATTAGTTTGTGGTTATAATGTGACAAAACAGATTAGCAATATTTATCCCAGTGATTATTATTATTTTAAGCAATATACTGTTGTTGGAAGTCACTGTAATTGTTTTGTTTTCTTTATCTAAGAGCCATAATTGCATTTCAGGTTCTAAATTACTCACCTTGAAATAATCAGTAAACACCCCGTCATTGTATTGCAGGCTTGTGGCTAACAATCCTTGCAGTATTGTGTATTTGTCAGTAATTATAGATGTGTGTATGCCACAGCGTCTGTATTTGGGCCCTTGCCTGCGCCTGTGCTGGCAGATTGGAAAGGTAAGCCACTGAAAGCTTCTGTGTGCGATGCTGCTTTGTCTCTTATTAATGAAGGGGACACAGGAGCTGTCAATGCTGCTGTTCCGCTGCCGGTGAAATAGTAATGAGTGTGTATAACGGAGCCCGGTCAGTGTGGCTTACAGCTCTGCTGCGATTGGTTGTGAAGCCAGGGCACATGGAGTAGCGACTGGCCGCACTTCACGTGGGGATCGCGGATGCTGGAGGCAGAGATGGAGACGTTTTGCAATCGGAGAAATGAGGCAGATTGAGAAACAGAGGTCAGATTCTTCTTTTGATTTTTGTTTTGGAGATCTGCATGGAAACCTCACTGTTTACCTCACAGAGCATAAAAAGACTTTCCAAACATTGACAGACAAATTATTTTATTATATAATCAGTTGGCCTAACCACATTTTCTCACGCTATGATCTGTTATTGTTGCTCCTGCTGAGCCATGAAGCTCTGAAATATTGTTTAAAAGGTATGTTTGAGATCCTTCTTATTTTAGAAATGTTAGTTTGTGTTGAAACTGGTGCATCAACATAGCTGATGTCTCCTATTTATTACTTCAGTTCTGATTTTTCTGGTTTGAATATCATATGCAACAATATTTTAGTATTTTTATGTTTTCTTTTTTTACTTTACCAGTCGACTGAAACGCAGAACAGATGCATTTTAGTAGTTTAGAGTGGGCAGTGTAGGGTATTTCCAGAAATTAAATTAAAACCTTGTAATTGTTGTGAGAAATAAAATAATAAAATTCTGAACATTTTAATCCGAAAAAGAATCAAAATAACTTTTTGTAATTTCTAGTTTTGTTTCGTCTTATTAAATTTTTTTAAACCTTTTTTACTGATATTTTTCCTCATTTTCAACATAGATATAGTTTGAAATGTAACATTTCTGTAAAAGAAAATAAAAAGTTAGGGTTTTTATAACTTCATTTAGTGCATATGAGAACCTGACTCTCATCAATAATAGCTCCCTTTCTGAAGTTGAACTGGTTTTATACTCTTAAGCCCAGAATTATTCATATCCCTGACAGATTTAGGTTTAAAGTAATCTTTTGATCTGATAATGTTTCTTTTTAGTTAAAGCAGTAATAACATTTTAAGAACGGCAAGAAGTTCATTCTGTGTTAGTTAAACACAGAATAAAAAAATGTAATACATAAAGTTATGAAAAGTTACTATGAATAAAAATAAAGCATCTGATAAAGGTGTCCTAACTTTTGAGGGAGTACATTCATTCAGGAGTGGAAATAAATTTGTACCAAAATATCTGATCACATTTGTTGATGTCTCAATTAATTCCTAGGAAATAAAGGCGATTTATTTTTATTTTATACTTTGCTTTTTTAAATTCATGAGAGTATCCAGAAATATTTTAGTATTTGTTGACATCATATGTCCCTATAATCTGGGGCCCATTTCTCTTAACCCAACTTAAAAATTGGAAATGCAAAAATACATGTCATTCAAGTATCAAGAAGAAATACAATTAGATAGATTTTTTGTAATCCTAAAATTGTGAAGCATGTAAATAGTGCGTACTAAGTAAATATTATATATAGGCTAGTAGGACTAGTCCTGAGTGTAATTATCTGTGCTGTAATGATTGCAGTATGTAGCCTTTTTTCTATTTTCTAAATGTTCCGAGGAAACGTCTTGCAGTAAGAGCTTGGGAAAGGCTGTGATGAAAATAAAAGCAAGAAAGCTGCTTCTCTCACTCCAGAAAAAAAGAGAAAAGCTTGTTATTTCTACTAAAACTGGATTAAAACTTTTAATTACAAAGTCATTATAGATGTTCAATTGTCTCAGTTTATTACATTTCAAAGAATTTTTTTTTGTAATAGTTGTGTTTGAATTCAGCTTTCGCTCACCATTTCAAACATGCATGTACACTCACCATCTGCTACATTAAAATTGTGAAAAGTGTTCGCCCACTCATACAGTCACTCACTCCAGCCTTGAAACAGCAGCGAAACCAGAGCAGCGCAGCGTTCAGAGGGCAACTCAACGGCTCTTTGTCATCTTCCCCGAGCGTTCCTAAGCAGTTTGTTTGGCATGTCGACACACATTGTCTCTTTGTGAAGGATTTTATCATCAGTGAGTGGGGTGGGGAGGAACTGTGGCAGGGTGCACGTGGTTTGCTACAATGCTTTGGAGGTGGTTATTTGTGACAGTGAGAATAAAAAATACAGTTTCAGCGGAGCTTTGCTTGGTGTCACTCTAACTTAATGGGTTTAAAGTTGTGGCTTTAAACAATCAGTTTTTTGTTTGCTGCCCAGTCTTTTTGCTTTTTATTGTATTTGTGTGAAATTTTTGAGATTTAAGGTATCTTTTTATGAGAAGGATTCTCTGAAAGTAAAGTCTTGCTTTTATATTTAAATGTAGTAAACATATGATTGTAAGAGATTCTCACAGAAGGATAACCTTGACTAGAGATCTCAGAGTATCACAGCACTTACATAAAAATTGGAGGAAAAAATGTCCCAATATGTTTTTATTGTTTTTATTTTAGGAAAAGCAACAATTGTTCAGAATGCTGCAAAAAATGAATACAATATTGATCATTAAAGTCAAATAAACACCAGTTGGTTTGAGGCCTTATTTTGCAGAATAACACAGATATTAAAAGATTATTTTTAGCTGCTTAGTTTGTCCTGATTGTTGTTCTTTTGTGAATGAGGGAAATATAGTTGGCTTTTTTCAGCCATCTGACCTGCAGTGAGCAGCCACAACCCAAAAAGGAGCTGCATAAAGAAGACGTATAGATCTGATCACTATTTTCTAGAGTTTGCTGGAATAAAACTGGAGAACAATTTTGAGATTATGAAACACTTAGCTTAAAGAAAAAACTCAAAAGTACAATGGGACTTGGCGGAAAATGATTCAGACCTATTTTGTTGTTACATTTTTTATCCAAGTTGTAAAACCAACCTACCAAAGACTGTCTGTTTGGCTGAGTCACACATCAACATTTTTGTCTCAATTAAATGTTTCTGTTTATTATTATGTACATTTCTTTAGTAAAATATATATTCCTTGTTTTTTTTTATTATCTTCAGAGTTTTTTTGTAATTTTCTGAGATTTATAGAAGCATCTGGATTTTTTTTCTCCTGTTATCACTTGCTTTGGAAATGTTTTATTTAATCCATGGAGGTGGTTTCTGTATTTTGGTGTAGCTTATTGTTTTGTTTTGTTTTGTTTTTCCCCACATTGACATGCAGCTCTTATAATCAGCTGGACTTTGGCGTCTCGGCTTCAGAGCTGGGCTAGACGTTCTCGCTGAGCAAACAGATCAGATATTAAAATTCCTCCCCTGCATGTATGTCGAGAGCTTCTCCCTCACTTTGTCAATATTTGATCAGAGCTAATTTTTGGTATGCAGGGACCTTCTTCCACTGTCTTTTGTACTTTCTCAAAAATGGCTTTAAATACACAGGTGAAATTTTAAGATATCTAGCTGTAAGTGATGACTCCAAACATTCTACGTTCACGGCCATCCGGACTGTGACTCTTTTGAAGGCCATTTCACGCCTTTTCTTGTTGCTTTGGACGCTTCAGCCAGCACGCCGCCCCAGGATACGCACCCTCCTCCTCTGACAGGGTCCCCCGGCTGGTGGGGTGTGGCCTGAGGATCAACGCCGGACAATGGTGCTCCCAGATCACAACACCCCCATAACGCTCCGTGCATCATTACATTCCTGCTACCCCACCCGGCCGCTCCCCTCCCCAGAGGAATAGGGCCTGAAACAGGAGCTCCAGGGGGAGCATCTGTTCCTCTCACGCTCTCAGTCAGCTAGTTTATAATCACTACAACTTCCTTTTGTCTTGGGCAGTCCCTCTCAGCTCTTACTTCTAGCTAAATTTAACCCATCACTTCATTAGCGCCGTTCTTTGTGTTTGCTCGCAGGTGAGCAGCCAGAAGGAGTCGAGCCAGAGACCGGATCCCACTGTGCAGATCTCTGAGATGCTCATGAATCACCTGACAGGTCAGTACACACTGCACACACCTTCAGACACACAACGAGATAAGAAGCTGGCAGTGGATGTTAATAAAGTTCATCTGGAGACAATGTGTTGGCATTGGAGAAGAAAACCAGAAATGTGACCTTTTGAGAGGAATTCATCTGATTTTGACATTATGACCTTTAGATTTCTTTCTTCTTTATTTGCACTCTTTCGAAGTTGAAATAATATTTGCAATAAACCCTGTTAATCCCTAAAACAAGAAAATTATTCTGCCAACTAACATCTCAGCAATTTTAGATTTCTAGGGAAATCTAAAGTTAATAAGAAAAAAAATGTGTTTTTAAATTATGTAAATGTAGAAATGCAAACAGCAATATTTTAATGTTTCATAAAATAGCATTTGAATAAAATCCTTTAAAACTTACAAGAGTGGAATTATTTTATTTTTACAGTAACCTAAAACTACAGACATTTTGAAATATTTCAGATAAAATACATTCTGAATACGTTTAAATCTTAGCAGTCCTTTTCTTGCTTCTATCTACATAAAAATCTACATAAAAATGTTCACATTTGTAACTGAAGATTATTTATCTAATTGTATTGATCTTGTTTAACAGCTGATATTCTCTCTGTGGTCTCGGATTACTAAAACATGACATTTATCTTTTGGCTTTATGCATACGAAAAATGTTCTCTCCACCTCGCTGAGTATAAAGACTGTGTGTTGCTGCCTTATTCATCTCTCGGCGCTACAAAGGGTATTTTTATGCTTCAGCCACACGTGACTGTGAAACAAGATGCATTGTTTTGACAGATTGCACACTGATGTTTCATTTTGCATCGTGCAATCCACAGCCGTGGGTCAGAGTCGGCTTGGACAAAAAAGTGATTACTGATTTTGGTCCAAATGGATTTTCTTTTGAGCAGAAACAGTTTGTCCTACTTACAGAGGCACCACTGCAGCCCAACCTGCTGTTTCCAGCTGGTGCTGCTTTGACCCACCTCCTCCCCGTCGCATCCTCCTCCATCTCCTCTGCTTTCATTTCACCCCTCTTTGCTCCGCCCACGAATCCCCGCTTCATCCCTCCTCCTCTCTGACCCTCGTCCTCCGCTGCGTCAGACACCTCCATTCATGAAAAGTGTGACGTGAGCAGGTCCCCAGCGACACCGAAACGGTTCACACCGCCCACCCACTCACAGCTCAGGTGCTGCGCGAGTCACAGGGATGCCTGTCTTTTTTCCCCTCTCTCCCTTTCTGACCATTTCTCCCTCGTGTCTTCGTCGTCTTCAGCTGTCCTCTCGGGGGGTTTATAACCGTCTTCTGTCCCTGCCTCAGAGCGGAGACAGGACCATGAATCTGAGCCGTGTCTCCGGTGAGTAAGCTTCTCTTGCCGGGTCTCTATAATGTGAAGCTGCTTCTCCTTTTTTCATTGATTTGGGGTTTATCTTTTGTCCAGTATGCGTACAAAAACAGGACACATATTGTGTGTACTTGAGATTTTTTCCATATGTTTTAGTGTGTGTTCAGCAGTGGTGCTGCAGGAGTGTGTTGAGCAGTCGTGCGTCGGTGCGTGCATGATCTATTTTAGGCTTAGCAGTGACGCTGCTGCTGCTTTTTGATGCAGTGTTATTCATGCCTTCTGAAGGACAGGTGATGTAGGTTAAAGCAACACGCACATTTCCACCTCACCTTTGTTTTTTCATTCATGGAACCAGATTTTCGCCCAGATTTTCTGGTACTACTATCATCACGAATGTGTTGTTTAACCCAAATTGACCCACTTTGCCTCCTTTTTTTCTTGTGTTCACCAATCTCTTAATTTACTTGGCAGCTGGAAAGCTCAGAGTGCCTACCTCTGTTCTCTGCTACTAAGCATGTTTATATAACTGTGTAGGATGAATAGCCAGCAGTTTGGCTTTAGAGGAGAGGAAGAGGAGGGGTGAAGCTGATCCATTCGTCCATTTTTTTTTTTTTAGAATCCTATCTATGCAGTTTGACTTCAGCTGGTTTACAATTTAGAATAACATGTGTGTCTAAGGCTGATCCTGGGTCATAGAAAGCTTGGAACCGCTAGGAGCACTAATGTATATTGATTTCCAGGTTTCCTGCTGGTCTCACTGGAATCACATGACCCATTTCTCTGCTCTTTAGCTTTGTGGCTTTCCATATTGCATCCATTTGGGGAAAAAAATGGTGTCAGTCACAGCCAGTCTCCTGCAATATGCATGTTTGTCTGTCTCTGTCCTTGTTAGCGGGCCAGGCAGACCGTCCCATTAAAAGAGCACAAGGGGAGTTGTTGTGGCAGCAGCTGCTCTGGTGCTGCAGTGTTTTGTGTGTGTACACGTGCGTGTGTGTGAGCGTGTTGTTCTCTCCTGGTCGTGCAGGGCAGACGGGCCTAGTTCACATGGAGCCGGCTCCTCTTGTGCCCTTTGTTGTCGCTCTGGGAGGTTTTCCCATTAGAGCTTGGTCGGTACAGTATTGTGCTGCTGGCGGCCTTAGTAGCTGCAGAAAACCAGTCAGGTTTTTCATTCATATTTTTCTGTTTTCGTCTTCCTCTTGCATTCTGCTTTTCTTCTGAGTCCACCATCACCTCTTTGGCCTTGACTTCTTATTATCTCTTCATGAATTTTGTATGAAAGCATCTGTATGAAGGAATCCGATTACAGAGAGCATATTTTGTCATCATTACCAGGAATAAAACTGCTGCCCAAAAAGTTGGCCCAAAAAGTTGATTGCAATCTTGCTGTATTAGTGTTTCTCCATTCTGGAAAATAAATTGAAAGATGACGTTTGTATTTCCACTCCGTTCCATATTCCATTTTCTAGTCAAATTAAGTTTATTTGTATAGCACATTTCAGCAGCAAGGTAATTCAAAATGCCTTACATGATAAAACATAACACAAGAAACAGGAAACCTCATTGCTCTGCAGTGGCAAAATAAAGAGAAGTAATAAAAAATTGCAGATTTTCTAGTTATTGTTAATCAAAGGCAACTTGGAAAAAAATTGTTTATAGCCTTTTTACAGAAAGTTTGTTCCAGATAAGAGGAGCATAAAGACTGAATGTGGTTTTGGTTCTGATTTCTAAATGTGTATCCATGTATCCATCTTGTGTTTTTCTATGCATCCATGTCTTTCTATTGTACAGTTTCTACTGTACAGTTAGAAACTAAAGGAACGGTTTATATAAATTTAAAGGAAAGGTTTATACACTGAAAACTGAAGTCTGGAAAAGTACAAACTGCTGCTTGAAATGAACAGTACAGAGACTGCAAGCATGGTAAAAAGAAAGTACACCCCATTTCAGTTCTAATGTGTTGTGTATCTGGATGTAGTCTCTGGTTACCAGGTTTTCAGACTATTTAAGCACACCCTCACTCAGCAGATTAAAAACTGGTTTTATTAAAATAAGTAATTTTTTTTTTTCAGAATGTGGTGAAACAATCTGCCAGTGTTCTAGGAATGGATGCTCCAGAAAATATATCCCAATGTCAAACACTAAGAATGCTCAACACAATTGCATAAATGAAGAACTACAGCTCATTAATTTGGATAGCAAGTTAATGTTCTTAACAGAACAGAAAAAGGCTTAAGTTATGATTGGCCGAATGCCTCACCTGCATATAGGTGCTTTTCTATCAAAATGATATTGCAAGAGTTGGATTATTGAATGAGACAATCAAAAACTTGTTTAAATTAGTCGTAGTTTTACAACGTACGAAGTACTGTTTTTTTATTTTGCGTTAATGATTTCTATATTTTTGCTTAATCTTTGCTTAAGAAGTAATGAACGATTGAAATCTGATGTGTGCTTTTGATTTAATTACTAATATACATTATGAAAATCCTTTCTCCCCTGTTTGTAGCTGCCATTTTTACCCTGTGGGTATTTGAATGTTCTGGCTGATGTGCCTCACTAAGAGCCCAGAGAATGAAGCTGACGTGTGTTTTCTCCAGTTATTTATTTTCTCCTGTTCTGGCTGGTACCAGCTGAGGCTATTTGAGGCACCGATCGTGTGTGTGTGTTTGGAGTGCTAATGATTCATAGCCTCTCTGTGTCAGACATTTGGAGGATTCCTCCAGAACATGACGTAGGATCGATGAGGGTAGAGAATGTGGCTTAACTCCCATCTGATGCGTCTACGCTTCATGTTTGCCTAGAAACATAAAAATCAAACTTGTACACACTATCACCACCTGGTCTTTTCCCTCTGGTTCAAGCCAAAGCGTTGACTGTGTTTCTGTTTGATTCCCAGTCCAGCCGTTAACCTGCAGCTAAACAGTTGAGGGTTAATGTACTGCTTTAATTCCAAACAGCATCTGAATTTGAGGGAAGAAGGATTATAGGACAATGTCTGCTGAAAGAGATTGTGAAAAATAATTTGCTGTTCCCACATTGACAGATTATTGCTCTCACCCACATACAGTTTGGTGAGGCTAGAGAGGGTAATGCAGATTTATTCACACATAAACTTCTAAATACCTACTAGATTTGTCTGCTTGAACAATGACTTACATCTGTGAGTTTCGTGTATGTCAATTGAGTTTTATAACTCTGTTTACTCACAGGCTGAACTGAGACCTTGAACAGTCCATAGTGTGGGGAAACAAGTACAGATATCAGAGTTCACCTCGTCAACTATGACCGAGAAAAACAAACTGTCACATGTTCGGTGGAGACCAGCACAGCTCTCACCATCTGTTTCAGGAGAGGAGCCCAAGCGGGACACAAACTTTGTGGTGAAGGTATTTGTCCCAGAAATAAGCTTCAGATGTTGGGAAAAGGACTCTACTTGTCTGCTATTTATTTCCACCAGTTTTGCACATGTGGAGAGAAACTTGTTGATTCTTCTTTTCTAGACAGCTGATGAATGAGTGTCCATCTTGGCTCTGGTCTCATGTGACCAGAACATGCGGTGTCCCCTTTTTCCCTTGTGTCAAACTTCAAATTGTACTTCTTATGGCTTTCGTTCCATAGTAACTTACTTCTTGACACTGCTGCACAAACCTAGACAA